TGGTTTTTTTTATATGTACATTATCACACACTAAGGATAGAATCAAAAGTCTTTACCATGGCCAACAAGGTCCCCCAAGATCTGGCCTCTTAGGGACACTTTGTCAACTTCATCTCCTACCATATTCTTTTTTATTCGTTTGACTCCAGCCACAATAACCTCCTTGTTCTTCCTTGGAAGGACTGAGCATTCTCCCATGTTGGGGCCTTGGCACTTGTTCTATCTGCCAAGCATGCCCTTTTCTGAGATACTGACATGGGTCGCTCTCTCATTTCATTCACAGTTCTGATCAAATTCAGTGAAGTCTGCTTAGCATTTACCAATACCTGACATTGGATTATATTTATTTGTCTATCGTTTGTCTTCCTTTACAAGAATATAAATGCCATGAAGCAGGAGCTTTGTTCTATTTTCTACTGTGTTTTCAGCATCTAGACCTGGGCTTGAATCATAAGAAATGCTCAGCAAATACATAAATATATTTCAATGGCCCTGACTGGTGTAGCTCAGTGGATTGAGTGCTGGCCTGTGTACTGAAAGTTTGCTGTTTTGATTCCCAGTCGGGGCACATGCCTGGGTTTTGGGCCAGGTCCCCAGTTGGGGGCGTGAGAGAGGCAACTGATTCCTGTTTCTCTCCCTCTCTTTCTCCCACCTTTCCTCTCTCCCTAAAAATAAATAAATAAAATCTTAAAAAAATGCAAATATATATATTTTTAATGAATGACTGAATTTCAATATGGTGCCTACAAGGAAGTATTAAAATTCTGAGGGGTAGAGACAGTATAAAGAGAAAGATGAAATGTAGGGAGGGAGAGGGAGCTTTGAGACAACCGTGGAAATTGCTGGGGCTTCAGGCTGAGTGTTGAGGGGACCGGAGTTGATGAACAGTGGCGGTGGAGAGAAGCTGAGCAGCACTGGGGAGTTAAGGCTGAGGAGCAGCGGGAGGAGCACTGGGAGGGAGTCCACGTGAAACCCGCAGCCTCCATGGGTTCCATGCTAGACAAACTAGTCTATATCCTCTGCCTGTTTCCAGGAAGTTCCTCCTATTTTCTGTCTCTTTCTGTCAAGAAGGAAACTCTTTGAATATTACATCCCCTGTAGCCTTCCTTCTTTGGGAAGTTGCTTGTGATTATTTTACACCCAGTGTGTGTTAAGACTGACAGAGTGTTCATTCATTTGTTTTCCAACACCACTTTCAAGCCATTACCCCTCTACCTGGTGTTCCTTTAAGGTTCATGCTACACAGTCATGCTACTTCCAACTCCATGGACACTCTCTGTTTATCACAGACTTTGATGTCAGGCCTCTTCATTCTAAATCTAGCCATCATCCCAGGTAACTAAATGTCTGTGTAAATGACCCGTTCTTAATCATGAGCTCTCAGTTCTTTGAAAGCCTCCATTCCAGGTATTTCCACCTCCGCTTCACTTCAGTCACTTTCGTCCATAGTTACCCCCTGCACTTTGTCATCATTCCGAACAGTTCTAACCCTAAAACCTTAAATTAAAAAAATCTCCCGTTTGACCACATTTTCTTACCTTTTAAGCTCTCACTCAGTTTTGTTCATTACATTTTTTTTTTACTAATTTAAAGCTCCTTCTTTCCTAACAACCTCATCCTTTCTGTATATTTTTCACTATACAGATTTCCTGACTTATCACTGAAACCTTCTTGACAATATCATCACCTTCTTTGTGCTGATGACATTCATTCCATGACCCTGAGAGAGCTAATCCTTTATTTAGCCCAACTACCAGCTCTCTCCTCTATTAATCCTAGGTTAGCAAATGGTTTTGAAGAAAAATCACATAGAAGTAGATTGGCACCACTAAAAGTTCTGTTCTTAAGTGTACAAGATTACTCAAGAAGACATTGGTTTTGGCCCTGGCTGGATGGTTAGAGTGTTGCCCTGATCCACCAGGGGTGTGGGTTTGACCCCCAGTCAGGGCACATGCAGGAATCAGCCAGTGAATGCGTGAGTGGGTGGAACAACAAATCCATGTCTCTCTCTCTTTCATAATTAATTCATAAAAAATTAAATAAGAAAATATTGGTTATAAGAATAACAATAAGGAAACTATCTGTCAACTCTATCATGTGATAGAAGAGCTATTAAAAGGAAAGGAAGTGGATTTGTATGGAGCAACATATAGAGAATTTAAAAAAGAAACTGTTGAGTAATAAAAAGGAAGCAGCAAAATAAAATGTATGTTGTCAAGTAAGTAAAAAAAAAAAAAGAAAGAAAAAACCCATACCAATGAGAATGATATATTTTCTAAGGGAATATGGATATGTATGTGAAAGCATTAAGAAAGATCTGGAAGGAAATGCAACTTTAGAGAGGGTGGGAGGGTGTGGGGTTCAAGGTGGTGGTAAAAGGGATTTTAGCTTTATCTGTAACATGCTAATTTTTAGAAAAGAAAATGTAATCATGTATCTCCTTTCAATTTAAAATTAATAAATTAAAATGAAAAAAGAAGAGTCAACAATTTCAACTAGATCCTCCATGTTTCAGTGGCCTCCTTTTCTTTCATTCTCTATAACTTTAAGCTACATCTACTCTTCTAAACTACACTTTCAAACCAACTGCATCCCTAAGTAGGAAAAACTCCTCTAGTTCACAGAGAAAATAGAAGCCATCAGAAAGGAAATTAAACGTCTTTAATACAGTATCTTTTCAATCCTCTTTCTTGTCTGCAACATCTCAGTTAATCGTCTCTTGTGTGAATTATTCACTTGGTGTTAAATTTGCAGTTTTTCTATCACATTTGCTTCTTGAGTCTGATTAATAAGAATGCTTTTCTCATCTCTTTTTAATAAGAATATTTTTCTCATCTCTTTTTAATAAGTGATGCCACTTGTCCTAACTTACGTGTGGGAGCACTACACCGTTGTTTTTCAGTACCGCACAGGGAAGCTACCTGCTTAAGTACAGAAAGCATCTTCATTTCAGCTGATGAAATCCTTCATATGAAAGATTATTGAGGGAAATATTTATATTCTGCATAAAAACAAAACTAATACTAAAATCATTAGTGTTCAGAGACCATTAGCTTATTAATTGCTCTTCCGTTTTCACATTTAACTCACTCTGATTCATTTTATTGTACATATAGTAGTTGAAGTTAGCTTCCTTTTAAAAGATTTAGTTTTATTAATAATGAGATGTTATTTCCCATATTACTTTGCCCAAAATTTTTTGAAAAAGATTTTATTTATTTATTTTTAGAGAGAGGGGAACGGAGAGAGGAAGAGAGAGAGAAACATCAATGTGTAGTTGCTTCTCGTGCACCCCCAGGAGGGGCCCAGCCCACAAGCCAGGCATGTGCCCTAACTGGGAATCGAACCAGCCACCCTTTGGTTTGCAGGTCAGTGCTCAATCCACTGAGCTACACCAGCCAGGGCTAAGTTTTTTATTGTTCACAGTTGTCCCCATTTCCTCCCACTATTCTCCCATGCCCTACCCAGCAACACCCCCATTCAGTTCTCTGAAGTCAGCTTCCTAAACCTGAACCAATCTTCCCTTGCTTAATATTCTCTACCTGTTTCACACTATACTTAGAATAAAATCTAGACTTCATCTAGAAGTCCTTGCATAATTTAGCCTCTGCCTATCAGTCTACCCATCTCTCTCAATTATCTCTTTAAATTAATTACAATTAATTCCAATACCACTCTGGTCTTCTTTGGATTCTTACAATAAACCCTTGTTCTCTTCCATCTCAGGACTCTTGTCCTGGAATCTTCTTTCCCTCTCTCACATTCCCAATGTTTGCTTATCAACTAGCATGTTCAAAGTCACTTCCCATGGGTAGCTCCCTCTTATCCTTTGGATTGCAACTTCTACATCACCTCCTCAGAGAGGCTTTACCTGGCTACACTCTCTAAATCTAGTTTACCACATTGTTCTCTAGTATAGCTGTTTCCTTCACAGCACTTCACACAATATTGTTATTTTCTATGTTCATGGGCTTACTAACTTTTGTGTGCTTTCTCCACCAGACAATGAGTTCTGCGAAAGCCAGTATCCACACCTGTCTTCTGTCCAGCACTTAAGTCACAGGTGGCAAACACAAGGTCCATGGGCTGAATCCAGCCTCCACCTTGTTTTATCTGGCCTTGCACTTTGTTTCTACCTGGCAGCACTGAGTTCTCACTTAACTGTTACGGAGTAGTTACATTTATACAGTCCTAAAATTACATTTGGCCCTTTGAAGGCAGCCTTGGGGCTGATGTGGTCCCCGGTGAAAATGAGTTTGACACCCCTGACTTAAGTGAACATGCAATGGGTCTTTGTTGACTAAATGAAAAGGCACAAGTCCTTCAGCATCCTGTCCCTCTGCTCCCAACCAACCCCAGGCAGGAGCACTGGCACGGACTCTCTACTATTCTTGGGATACACTGGAAGAGGTCCTCTAGCCACGCCTCTTCTCTCCAACCTCCTCAGGGAACTCCTTGCACCCTTTATTCCTTCTCCTGCATCTTCATCTCTACAATAATTTCCTCCAGTATTCGAAGATGTTTCCATTAAACAACCACACAACCAGAAACCCCAAAAGTTCCTTCCTCTTCAGACCTCAGGTCAGCACGTGGCTGGCCCCTTCCCCTGACTTTCAGGACTCAGTCGTGTCCTGTGTTCCTCTACTACCCTTTCTCGGGCTCTTTCAAGGGAGCTTCCAAGAGCCTGGGCAGTGGGGAACTTCGTGCGGGGGATGAAGGGCTCTGACGAGGGAGCACTGAGTAGTGAGGCTGGGTGAGTCGGGGGTTAAGGAGAGAGCTCTGAGAACCCCGAAGCCAGAGGTCAAGGAAGGACGGTATTGCGGAGAGGGCTTCAGCCTCTGCGACGCAGCAGGTGTAAACGAGAGAGGGAGGAAGGTGCGTCCCGTGGGCTGTTTGGGCCCCTGCAGCCTCACGCACCCAAGAAAAGCGAGCTCGCGGGGCAGCGGCCTTTGTGCGCCTGCGCTGCCGTTGCCGGGCACCCGCTAGCGAAGGGACAGCCGAGAGCAGCGGTGGTGGCAGCGGGGGACTCCGGAAGCTCACCCTTCACCCGGAAATGGTTGTTGAGGAACATGGCGTTGCTGGTGCGAGTCCTTGTGAGTGAAGGAGTAATTTTGCACGGTCGTCCTCCGGGGCCCGGGGTTGGAGTCGGAGAGGACGGGGTGGGAGAAACTGGAGGGAAGTGCAGGAGTGGAACCCGTGCGGCAGCGAGGCTGCGCGGCCGCCTCTCTGCGGGGAAACTGAGGCAGCTTCCCACCTCCTTTTACCCCTTTTGGCCGTATCTCCCTTCTCTTTGGAGGAAAAGGAGAGTGACATCTGACCTGAATTCTATGAAGTTTGGTTTCCCTTAGTCTACACCTGTGACATCCTTCCCTCAGGGAGAGGCAGCACGTGGGGCACTGATTGGAGTTTCGGGAGACCTAGGTTCTATCTCGCGTCTGTTATGTCACTGAAATACAGTGTGAAGTTGGGCAAGTCACTTTCAGACCTCAGGTGCTATATGTGAAAAGTGAGGACGTTAATCTGCGGTCCTTTCGGATTCTGAGGTTCCCTGGATTTGTTTCAGAGATCAGTGAGTCAGTTCTTAACGGTCATATTATTAAGTTGAAAGCTGCACCAGAACCGGGGTCATATCTGTCGTTTTCACTCTGCCTAGCACAGTGTCTGACATACCGTAGCTGTTCAATAAATATTTGTCGAATGAATGAATGAATGACTGAAGAATGGAGCAGAGAAGGAAGGACCACTCCATTTCTTAGCACCCTTATGGGAAGCTACTGCATCTCTTGTGATTCAGTCCCGATCTTTCTAGCACATTGCAACCTCTAGGAAGTAAAAAAGAAAGTGGCAGTGGAAAAGTTAGGAGGATACAGAGCTTTGTTGCTAACCATGGTGTGATGGGAGAGTATAATTTTAGCAAGTCTTTCAAAACCTGGGTCAAGGACATGGTTTTTTGCATAGCAGACACTTTCTGCCCCTGCCTGTTGCTATCTTTTGAGTTGTTACTTTATACTTGTGTTTCTAATCTTTTTCTGTATGGCTCACAAGGACTGCAGTTTTGCTTCTTGGGTTTCTTGTTAGCCTAGCTAAGTGCAGTGCCTGCGATTGCTGCTCAGTAAATAATTTGTTTGAAGAATAGTTCGTATAACATGTGGAAAATCCACTTGGTGGAGTATTGTTGATGCAAGGCCAGAAACGGATTCAGATCTGAGGACTGAGGAGGAAATGGCAACGAGGATATCCTGAGTTACTTGGTTCTTCAGATGGATATTTGGGGGAAGAGATGAAAAGTTTGTTGGGCTGTGTACCTACAATGAACACCTTGATTTGTTTTGGAAGTTAGTGGATGCCCCAGCCATGTTAAACATTCTTGCTCCTGAGTGTGTGGACTGTTTCAGGTTCATTTCCTTTTAGGTGGGAGCTTCCATAGAATCTACCTCTCTATTATGGGTGGGTTCTATTAGTTGGATCTGCCTTCTACTAGTCATCCCCTGCACTGTTTATCCTTTTCTATTCATCTTCTTAGGTATAAAGCAAGTTTAGATAAGGAAAGTCACTTTCACTTTATGCTGTGATTCTTTGAAGTCTTCTTAACATGTGTTGTAATGTAGTGTGTGACAAAGCAATGGAAGTCCCCTTAGGACGAGTTGAAAGTGTCAGTAAACATGAAGGTAGCAGATATTTATTGATCGCCTGCTCTGAAGAGGCATTTGGGTTAGGCACTGCGAGGACCTCATAAATACAGGAAAGTGCACGTTTAGGAGTCTGAAGGGCCTAGGCTGAAAGCTTGGCTCCATTACTTACAAATGGGTGTGACCTTGAGCAAGTCACCTAACATCTCTGAGCCTCAGATTTTCTGAACAGTAAATTTGATAGTATTGATCAGAGAATCAGCTGATACTAGTGATGCTTAAATGCTTTTATTCCCTTTTAGCCCAGCAACCATTTGAATGTTTACTATGTTCTAGGAACTGAGGGTCAAAAACATATACCTTATTCTTAGCTTTATAACCCAATAGGAGAGACAGAAGACTAATACAGTACTTGGAGTGTGTGATAGACATCTATACCAATTGCTATGGGGTCAGAGTAGAGAGACGCCTACTCTGAGAGCAGGCGTTCACCAGGGAAAGGTGCCTGAACTAAATGAGAGCACATTTAGTTGTGCTCTCCCCTCTGGTTGCTGTCAGTTAGAGAATGGGTGAAAGGGCATAAGAAGAGAAGCATTAGCTTGTGCTAAGAATGCTAGACAACCAAGTAACTAAACACATGTATGTGGCTGAACTCGGGGGGCATTTATGAGGAAATGGCAGGGGAAGAGGCTGGGCTTCTATATCATGGTTAGGAGCTGGAGGTTTATCTTGAGGCAGAGGGGAACCATTCAAGTATTTTAAACAGGGGAAGAGTTATTAAAAATTGTTATATCCACAGATTTTTAGAGAGAGAGAGAGAGACATCAACTTGTTCCACTTACATGTGCATTCATTGCTTGATTCCTGTATGTGCCCTGACCAGGGATCAAAACCACAACCTTGGCATATCCAGGACGTGATGCTCTAACCAACTGAGCTATCCAGCCAAGACATGGGAAGATTTATTCTTTAAGGTTTTTTGGGAGCACTTACTGTTTGTCCCCCTCATTTAAATTTTTTCCAATTTTAAAAAATATTTTATTGTTATTCTATTACAGTTGTCCCAGTTTCCCCCCCTTTGCCCTCCTCCACCCAGCCCATCCCCCATTTCCACACTCATTCCCCGCCCTGTTGTCCATGGGTCATTCATACATGTTCCTTGACTAGACCCTGCCCCTTCTTGCCACCCTTGTTCCCCTCCCCGCTTCCCCTCTGGTTGCTGTCAGTCTGTTTCTTGTTTCTGTGCCTCTGGTTCCATTATGCTGGTTAGTTAATTTTGTTCATTAGGTTCCTCTTATAGGTAAGATCATATGGTATTTCTCTTTCACTGACTGACTTATTTCACTTGGTGTAATAGTCTCCAGTTCCACCCATGCTGTTGTGAAAGGTAGGAGCTCCTTCCTTCTTTCTGCTTTGTAGTATTCCACTGTGCAAAGGTACCACAGTTTTTTGATCCACTCATTTACTGATGGGCGCTTAGGCTGTTTCCAGCATGTGGCTATTGTAAATAGCGCTGCTATGAACATGGGGGTGTTTAAGTTATTTTGAATTGGTGTTTCAGTATTCTTATGGTATATTCCCAGCAGTGGAATTGCTGAGTCAAAGGCAGTTCCATTTTTAGTGTTTTGAGGAAATTCCATCCTGTTTTCCACAGTGGATGCACCAGTCTGCATTCCCACCAACAGCACACTAGGTTTCCCTTTTCTCCACGTCCTCGCCAGCACTTGTTTGTGGATTTATTAATAATAGCCATTCTGACTGGTGTGAGGTGATATCTCATTGTGTTTTTAATTTGCATCTCTTGGATGGCTAGTGATGTTGAGTATCCTTCCATATATGTCTAGTGCCATCTGTATGTCCTCCTTGGAGAAGTGTCTATTCAGGTCTTTGTCCATTTTTTAATTGGATTGTTTGACTTCCTGACATTGAGTTGCATGATTTCTTTATGTATTTTGAAGATCAAACCCTTGTCTGAGATATAAGCAAATATGTTCTCCCATACGGTGGGTTCCTTTTTCATTTTGCTGATGTTTTCTTTAGCCGTGCAGAAGCTTTTTAATTTGATATAGTCCCATTTTAATTTTTTTTCCTTTATTTTACTTGCCCTAGGAGATATATCGGCAAAAATACTGCTACACGGGGTATCTAATATTTTACTGCCTATGTTGTTCTCTAGGACTTTTAAGATGTCACAACTAATATTTCAATTTTTATCCTTTTTGAATTTATTTTGGTGTAAATTTTTTAATCGAGGAATAATTTACATACAATAAATTGTACTTATTTAATTGTACAATTTGACAAGCTTTGACACTGGTATGCTTCTGAAAGGCCATCACAACAATAAAAATAATGAACATACCCATCACTCCCCCAGATTTCTTTCTGCCCTTTTGCAATTCTTTTTCTCCTGTTTCTCTCTCCTCCAGAAACCACTACTATTCAGGGAACACTTTTGTTTCTTCTCTAATTTTTAAATTGAAATTAAACAATTTTATTTTGAAAGTGTTGAAAAAGTTTTAAAAAGTCAACATAGTAAACACATACCCACTTTTATTTATTTGTTTAAAAGATTTTATTTATTTTATTTTTAGAGCGAGGGGAAGGGAGAGAGAAAGGGAGAGACACATCCATGTGTGGCTGCCTCTCACATGGCCCCCACTGGGGACCTGGCCTCCGACTCAGGCATGTGTCTTGACTGGGAATCGAACCAGTGACCCTTTGGTTCACAGCCCACGCTCAGTCCTCTAAGCTACACCAGCCAGGGCACATACCCCCTTTTAGAGTTTTGTCTTAATAGATCCCTGTAGCAGTTGTGGATGGATCAGAGAGAGCTGAGACTAGAGACCCCAAGGCCAGGAAGGAGCTACTTAAGTAATCCTGGAAGAAGTGATAAAAGCTATACTAAGAGGGGAGGAGCAGTGTGGTTAAAGAGGAAGGGATGGTTTCTGGAGGAAAGAGAGTCTGTAGAGCTTGGTGAGACGTTGGATGTTGAGGGTAAGGGAGGAGGAGTTTTTTTTTGTTTTGTTTTTAATCCTCATCTGAGGAAATGTTGGTTGACTTGAGAGAGAGAGACATTGATGTGTGAGAGAAACATCAATCTATGATCTCCTGTGTGTACTCTGACTGGGGTCCCACAACCTAGGTGTGTGCCCTGACTGGACTCGAACCCACAGCCTTTTGGTGTACGGGATGATGCTCCAACTAACCCAGCCACCCGGCCAGGGCAGAAGGAGGAATCTTAACAGTGAGTCCCAGGTCAGCAGTGTCCATTGAGAATATCCAACTAGAGGTTTTTAATTTTTTTTTTTTTTTTTAGCTGGAGAGTTAGTGTTCAGGGGAAGGAGGGAGGGAGGAGGGGAGAGAGGGAGCACTGAGATAAAGGATGTAGTAGAAGCAAGATGTTGTTGAGATTTCCTGGGCAATAATGTTGACAGCTAACATTTATGGGGCACTTACCACAC